CTTTTGAAAGCTCTTACAATTCTCTTTACAACAGACTTTAAATTTTATAATTCCGCCCAATACTTATTAAGAATTTTGATTTTAAAGTTGAAACTTATGTACAAACAATTAATAACGGTAAAAATGTCATTTATTCGATTTAAGTACGCCAGTGGTATAAATTTAGTATTTCTTGCGTTACATTGATTTTTGGCGATTTGTTATCACTTTCGTAAAAAAACAATTGTAAAAACAGTAATGAATGCTATACACACACACACAACGAAAGTAAAGTTGGTGGATTCCAAACTATTTTCTAGTATTATTTGGAAGCGTTGGTTGATAGTTTATTTAATTGTGATTTTGAAAATTAAACACTATGGTTTATTCCATTGCGGAAAGGGTAGATATTATCATTTCGCTTCACTTTATGAACAATAAATGTGTGCGAATAGAACGGCTCAGCTATTTTTAAGTACGAGGCAGCTGGCATCTGTGTCTGGGATCAATGGACCTAGTATACAAACCATTTTGAAGAAGAATAAAATCCATCCATACAAAATACATTTAGTCCAGGAACTTCATGAGGATGATTATGACCACCGTTTGCAATTTTGCGAAATAATGAGTGAGCGAGCAGGGAACGATCCACAGTTCCTTTTTAACATCTGTTTTTCTAATGAATGCAGTTTTTTTCTTGAACGGTACGATAAATCGTCACAATTGCCGCTATTGGTCCGATTCAAACCCAAGAGTTTTTCACGAAGTGCATACACAGCAACCGGAAAATTAAATGTATGGGCTGGAATTTTCGGTGACCGGCTGCTGGGCCAAATGTATTCACAATTATAGTCCAAGCATTCTGTCACGGATTAATGTTAAATTTGCAGAAATTATTACCTGGACAAAAAAAATATGACCGTATAGAAAATTAAATTTTAAATTGAGTTTCTTGTTCTTTAAACTCGATCCAATATGGCGAACATGGTTAAAAAAAATCGCAAAGTTGAAAAAAACTGTTTTTCTAAAATAACTAAAAAAATATAGCAC